ATAAATTGGCGGGACAGGCCCTATCAGAACGGTATCCTCGAATGCCTCTAAGGGGCTTCTAGTCCTTCATTCTTGACTCCTTTCGTTCCTCTACCATATTCATTGATTCATTCTTTAGAAGTTAGGCACAAGACCCATGAATGCAAACAAAGAAAGAATAGCGAGACCGCATATCAAAAGGTTTGGAACCCAAGCTTACCTTATTATTATGAAAAGGGGAAGGTTTGAGAAAGGGTAGTAGGTGTAGGTCTTTCCAGCTGGATTCATTAATGCAATGGAACTCCAGAACTTGAAGAACTGGCCTTGGAAGGAAATCTTTATTCAAATCATAATCTTTCGGAAGCTGGCATCGCTAGTTGACTCCTCCTCGTCGACAGCCAGCAGTTGTCGGACTAGCCTTCATTGTCTTCAGCCTAGCTGCCTTGTCTTAGCTAGCCCTTTCGGACTAGCCTTTTGAAGCTTTCTCGCTTCCCCCTAAAGGGGAAGACCCGCTAAGGCACGGCGAACAGCAAGAGCTAATACCCTATCTCTTAATCTGCCTTCAGACGGGATGCTCTAGTTGCTGCTGCTCTTAGCTGAATGCCTTGCTTCGCCCTACAGCTAGTGGAGACAACGACTAATAAGATTGACGACAGGAGAACACCCTGGCTTGACTACTTTTCTGTTATGACTTTCTAGGCCTGGACTAATGCTTCCTTATGTCTGCCATTAGCTTAAGGCTAGTGTAACGGAGGGCTTCCTCGCAAGAAGCTTTATAGTCAGGGGTGAAACGGCTTGTTTGGCTTTCTTCTTTCTGACTACAAGGACTAATGACCTTCTTTCTTTTCCGTACGCTAGGGCCGCTCGCACGCTTTAAGGGCGGTTGAAGGTATTGCACTAAGAAAGACTCCTGCCGTTGCTAAAGGTCAGATTTGAAAGCGGCTCAAACAATTTCTTTAAAAAAAAGAGCAAGCAAGATAAGGCTTTTCAACCGTATCGCGCAGGGGCGCTCAAGCGCCCTATCTTACTAAGAAAAAGAAAGGGGCTCGAAAGCTGCGAAGAAAGTCGAGCTGCTCTAATCGAGCTGTGAAATCGGTCTGGTGAGGTATTGGAAGTGTTCAGCGAATATAGAGAAAGAGACTCAAAAAACCGCGCTATACTGGCAGAGCTTCAGCAAAAGGAGGTAGGTAGCTTTCGCTAATGAGAGATGGGTTTGGGGATTAGGTCTCCTAATTCATGGAATTCTCTCCCAGAGCAGCGGAACTAACGACTCTATTAGAAAGTAGAATTACCAACTTTTATACGAATTTTCAAGTGGATGAGATTTTGCAAGGAATAATAGACTTACATCACGATATCTTTTTCTTCCTCATTCTGATTTTGGTTTTGTGTACAGGATCTTGGTTCGTGCTTTATGGCATTTCCATTATCCAAAAATCCAATCCCGCAAAGGATTGTTCATGGAACTACTATCGAGATTCTTCGGACCATATTTCCTAGTTCTTTGGTTATTCCTTAAATGGGGGATAACAACCGCTTATGCGGCCACTCCTTCTGAGGAGGCCCTATTGACCCATTACTTGTCCTACGAGGAGGACCCTGCTCAAACAAAAGGGGAATCCGAAAGGTATTTTAAAGGAATTTCGGATTTCTTATAGTGGAGGGAGCGGGAGGGGAGAAGACTCATTTTTCATTCTATATAGGGGGGAGCTATTGTGAAGCCTAGAGAGGCGGAAGCGGCAAATTGCTTCTACCGAGTTCCCCAACAGCAGCAGAGCTTAGTAGCTTAACTATTTTGACTGGCGTGGCGCTGCTGGATGCTTCTGATCAATAGGAAGAGGAGGAAAAAAACACTTATGATGAGCATCTATTTGAGTCGATCATTTCCAAGATCTAATTCCAGTTTTTTCTTATGTAGTGGAAACGCCTTACAATCTGAAGTTTTACGCTTAAGGGAAGAAATTTGCTTGGTGGATGCAGGACTTGGGACCCCCAGAATTTGTATGCAAGATGAGCCTACAGGAGTGCCAATCAACCGAGCCACCAGGTTTGAGAATAAGGTGGGATCCCTGGATGTAGTGGCTGGTGAATCACTGATTAAAAAGAGGATTTTGGAGAGATTCTTCATCGATCTAGTGGCCGGTGAATCACTGATCAAAGAGCGAGCAGCCGCCAGGTTTAATGATTTGGTGGGATCCCTGGATGTAGTGGCTGGTGAACCGCTTCTTCTTCTTCCACGAAGATTCAGACAAAACCGAGCTTGGATGGAACTGAACAAGATTTGGCGAAGAAATACAAAGGTAAAAGGCTTTCTTTTTGAGAAAATCAAAGGAGGTTATTCAGTAGCCATCGCGGGTTTCCTGACTTTTCTTCCCTTTCGTCGTAAAATCAAAAGTAGATCGAATGATCGATTCACCATTGAGAGCATTAACCCCAAAAGGAAAAAGATTGTGGTCTTCCAATCGCGGAAGATCAAACAACAAGAACTTGATGAGCGAAATCTGCTGACGAAAAAAAAGAGCTATTTTTTCAATTCCGAAGCCTAGCGTCTCCTGATAACACTCTATCACCTTAATCCGTTTTTTAGTTGAGGGTCTTGCACTTATTCCGGCCCTCTATTTACATAGCAAAGAAAGGCAAAGGCTCTTGCTCAAATACGTGACTGCGGCGCGCCTATCGCCCCGGCACGACACTAGAAAATGCATGTTGGGTTGAGCAAGAATATTGTGACTAGGGAGACACAGAATGGAATTGAAGGCATAGTCTCAATAAAAAGAATTGAAGACCAACCAACGAGTGGTGGATTATGATGGAGTCTCGCAGAAGAAAAGCCTTACTCTATAAGGGCATTAGCGCGCTACAACTAGCAGCCCCTTTCTTCTTATTAGTAAGATAGGGAAAAGCCCTTTCTATCTTATTAGTCAAGCGCTAACGTCTGCTTTCTTTAGTTTGTTAAATCTATCGCGAGATGTTGGCAGGCATCAAAGGCAATTCAGTAATGGTCAAGCCAGACTATGTCTTCCCTATCGGAAGAGCAAGAACTACTTTAGCTCTCAAGCTGTTGACAATCTACCAATGGGACTATCAAAAGAGACCCGCCTAGGACTGATTAAAAGAAGACCTTGCCGACCAATGCCTTTGACCCTTTCCTCTCTCCAAAAAGGACAGTAGTTAGCAATCCAGCTTTGATAGCTGGGCTTGTGCTTTGACGACTGCTAGAGCGCTGGCTTAGCTTTCGCTCCTGACTTTAATAGTCATAATGGTTTCGCCCCCTATACAAGGTAACCAAAGACAAAAAGTGTATTTTTAGACTAGTCATAATAAGGTTGCTGTCAACATTTATATTCTACTGGGTTAAAGACTAAAAACTATGTACCCTGGGGAGAGGTCTTTTTTTATTTATCTAAATCCCTTTCACCACCTACACTACTTGAGAAGAAAGAAAGACCATTGCCTCACCCATCAAGCAAGAGCAATTCAAATAGAAAATAGCAAATAGATAGGGCGCCAGAGCTAACATTCCTTAGGACTAGCAATTATCTACTTCCTGAATAGAAAACACAGACCTATTCTCCATCCATCACCAAAGAGAGATTTCATCTTCAAATTAATAAATGATGAACCACAGTCTTACAAGAAGACAAGAAAATTCCAATAAAAAGCATAGAAATCAGCTGCCAACCAAAAAAAGTCATATACGAGATTCGCATTACGGTAAGGAGGAGACAAAAGTCCTAGTTAGCATCCAACCCAAGACGAATGAACTTGGCCTTGTGTAGATTGAGATTTCTGGGTTGAGACAGGCGGTTTCTCTCATTTTAGGTTCTGCTTTTCTTTGGGTCGCTTATTCACGAACAAAGAATCGAAGAATCAACTCAACAAAGAACTCTCTTTCGTCCATCTGCGTCTGGTTGCCTCCAAATTTTTTAGCTGGATAGTCGCGAATGGGAAGAGGCAAGACAAGAAACCCTTTACCAGTTCTAAGGCCTATGAAGGGATGGAGCTATTCCCCTGGGAAGGTCAAGCCCATTACCAAAGGCCCACCGATCCACCATAATAGACGCCAACATCCTTTCAGAATGATAATGAAAAGGGATGATCAAGCTGATTTTATAGTTGTCACGTGGGTACCCAACTTCACTTACTAATAGGGGAATAAGGGGGAGTCAGTTTGCAAAAAAATGAACCGAACCATACCGTAATGCCCTTCTTATTAAACCCTTTTCTTCTGGATTGAATATCACTTATGGCTTCTTTGCTTGGTGAGGTAACCGAGTTTTTGGAGGAACCGCTTAGGCTGGCCACGTAGCATGAACCGTGTCCAGCTCCTACCTGAATTTTATTAATAAGCTAAAAATTAAGAATTAAATCACAACTCTAAATTGAAGATCTATTTATAGTGTAGGGCATATGAATAATAAAGAAAAAATAATCTCCCAATTAATGGTAAAAATTACATAGGAAATTAAATCTAGAATAGAATGAAAAATCAGCAAAAATTAAGAAAATTATAACTAAAATGATAAATATGATTTCCTTATGAGGAGAACTTTTTAAATATGGAATATCTTAATTAATTGTGGCTGATTTAGGGGAAGAGATTTTGCCAAGATATTTTTCTTTTTCTCAAGTATTTTCTTTTTCCGCGAGATTTTGTATTTAAAGAGTTTTCCTCTTTTTCAAGATAGTTTGCAATTTTGAAGCAATTTTCCTTCTTGACTGATCTTTAATTGTGAAGATTTCCCACATGATTAGGAAATAAAATTCCATATGAATTTTTCTTTTTTCATGTCTTGCAGAATTTTTCTATTTTCTTGCTTATATCCCTCTTGCACTTGGGTTGAATAAAATATATTATTTTACTTTTGGGTTAATAACCTTGTTGTCTTTTTTTTTTTTGCTTTCTTTAATGGGTCCAAACTCATCTTCACCATTGATCCACTCTTGGATAACCAAAGTAATTATAACAAAGACTTGTTGTAATCTTTTTGTTCTCCCTCTTGTAATGGGCCCACTTGGCATTGAGATATCATCTCTGCCAACTTGATCTATGTCTATGCTCACATCAGGTAACTACCTCTGGAAGTTTTCATGGGCAAGGGATAAAAGTAAAGCCCTTGTCAGTAACTACTTTATCCTCTTCAAAAGTGGCTCAGAGAAGAGGTTGAGTTGGTGCTACAAAGGTTGTGGAAGAATACTGAGTTGAATGCAAACAGGGTGACAAAATTAAGAATAAATGAGTTAGGGGTATGAGTTTAACTAGTTAGGGATTATTTTGTGAGTTAGGCAGAGCTTGATTTTGAGCATATGCATAGAGTGCATGTGACATCCCAAGTGTTAATTAAGGCAAATGGGTATCAGATACATTATTAAAATAACGAGTGCATGATAAAATTTATGCAGCTGAACAAAATCATTACAAATATCTTACAAATATATATAAGTTCCAATACATACATATACTGATGCTAGAAATGGCTACAAAATAAAAAACATAAGGGTCACTTCTTTTACTATGCTACTGGACTCGTTAGAGTGCAGGAACGGTCATGCACTCAGACTTGTGGATCCACTGGATCCTTGTAGACTTCTAAGGATAGGTCAGCTTGCAGTTCCTCACTTTCTTCCTCATTTGGGGAGGGGGGTGCATGGAAAGAGTGAGTTCTATATACTCAGTAAAGAAAATAATATTAAATTAATATCGTAAGATTTCAAAAGTTAATTATTTTATCTTACCTTTTAACTTCCTCGTTTACCTATCTCACATTATGAAAAACTATTTATTTGTTAAGAAAATGATACGTTAACCCATAACATCAAACATACACCATGTCAGATAATAGAGAAAACTAAATAAATTATGAAATGCTCATATTTTTGTATCATGCTACAACTTCCATCTCTAATGGCAGATACAGATTTCTAACTATCCAAGTAGAATGATTAGATCAGATACAGATGCGGCAATTTTTTCATACCCATTTTCAGCTAGCCAAACCATGGTACGATCTATGACTACGGCCATACCAGTCATAGTAGCCCTAACAGATATCTACAGTCACGAAATTACTTAGCCACAGATAACCCCTACAAATAGTGTGACACCACTCTCGTCAGAGGATACGTCGTCATCCACTAGGAGCAGTCCTGTTATGTCTTTTCATACCAGATAGGAGAGGGAAAAACAGATACCCCAAAGGGCAAGGGAAACAAATACTCTCTAGAGATAAAAAGTCTAACGAGACATTTGATACAATATGCATGTCAATACAGATACACTTCAAACTATATAGACTTCATTCCACTTTCTCTTTTTTGCTACACTTTTTACTGTTACTAATTTTATATTATATTTATTACATGCAAATTTATCAAGTATCTATAATTCACATAGCATGCTTGAAAATAAGAACAATTCGACTCGTCTGAACACCGAGGCATACAAAGTAGGCATATTAACAATCATATTAAATTAGTTTATCTAAATATACTTCTTAAAACGTCGAACGAAATACTAGATTTCTTATTGAAACCTTGATGTTTTCTCCATCACCGTTCTCCTTTCTTTCTCTTCTTCTCTCACTAGACTACTATATTTCTCTCTCTCTCTCTAAATCTTTATAAAATAGAAGAATGGAAGTGTGGAGAGGAAAGGAAATGGGAGGGAAATTTATAGAATTTTATAACCGTTGGATTTGTACCAAGTGCCAAAATTCGATGAAGAGAGAGGAGAAAAAGATGCTCAGCATGAAAAATGAGAGATGAGGGCCTCCTTTGCCGGCGGTGGCGACGCACTACCTGAGGTGGCAGTGCTCCAATCGGCGCTCTGCAGGCACACAGGCCTCCTGTCGCGTGCGCAGGGGCTAGCATGCGCTACCGCGCGCGGGCCCCAAACGCACAGGGGCCTATTCGTGTAGGCCCGCTACCCAGACAACGCGTGCGCAATGCGTGGCGCTTGTCCGCGCCCGAGGTGACGCGCGAACGGCCTGCCTGTGTGCAACAGGATGCACCTATGCGGGCGATCAGCCTTCCACGAGATTTTTTTCATTGGAATTTTTTTTTTCCATTTCGCCGTTTTCCTATTTGTTTTCTAAATTTAAAATTTCAATTTAATTTAGTTAAATTAAAATCATTTAAAATAAAATAATTTAAAATTAGATAAAAATTAAATAAATAAAAATTAACTAAAATTACGA